ATTTCGCAACTATAATTTCACTGTCTTTGTTTGTGGTATATTTGGAAGTCAGCAACCAGTAGGAAGTCGAGTGCTGCAGTGAAGTCAAAGCTAACGTATGAACGTATTAGTTACATGCAATGGACCAGTTGCATGAGCGGCCCAAGGAATGCATTAGTTTTAAATTGAACGTGACGTCACATCCGGAGCCTCTTTCGGGCTCTCGAATCTCGCCCACTTTACGTACCATGCATACTTTTGCGTTCGTGCAACTGGTCCATTGTAATTTGGTGCACTTATGGGATACTGTGGTCTCAGTAGCTACATGGGCTGTAGCCACCTGGCAAAGAATCTGGCTTGGATAAATCCTTTTTAGTACGGCACCTAGCTATATGTGTAAGTATATCAGGCATCCAATATCAGGCTAAGAACATTCATTTTTGTAAAAGTGTCATCAGTCATGCACATCAAAGAAGACGCTGTGTGCGTAGATACACAGATATTTGTTCTGTAACCACAGCCACACGCTGGTCACACCACCTTCAGACTATTTCCTACTGCACTGCAGGTTTTTACTTGTTTACCATTTCTATGTCCATGGCGAGACCTACTGACATCTATTGACTGCACCATCAAGACATGCTAAAGTGCCCCTTTTAGTTAAGAAAACTTAGATAGGACTTGAAATCATACAGCAGTTGTCTTTGGGCTTTGGGAGATACATAGCATCGATGGAGATGCAGACTGTGGGATAAACAAGAAGCAGACTGACATGATGCTAATCTGCGTGTTAGCACTGTGTTGCTGCTGTCGTTAACTGAGAGCCAAAGCTTTGGTCTCTCTCTATACAGTTGTGACCAAATCTCTGTGAACACTTACAACTCTTTGAGACTTAGCAAGATACATTCTTGAATGAGGCAGCAGGCATAGCTTGCACTGTTTTGTGTTTCAGGCTCAACTGTGTGTTCCTTCAACATACGCTCACAGCATACCAGAAATGTAAAAGTCCTACATTTAGACCATTAGGTAGGCCTGCTTTGCTTGCCAATAAAATCTGTAAAATAACCACACAACAGAGAGAAGTAGATGAATGGAGGAATGGTAATAATGAAGTGGTCAGGGAAACCTCAGTAAAACCTGCCTTTGGGCTTCGAGATGTAGCTACCTTTGTTATGCTCCTTTTGTCAACCTGACACCTAGTTAGACCTGCATGTTGAAAACCGCTGCAGATGGTCTTTAAACACATGGTGATGGCTTGATAGAATGCCTCACATCGACCTTTTTCTTGCGCATAAAAACAGCTCTAATGTTCTGTTTGCAGTTAATGACAACGTTGCATGAAGGTGGTAGAAAGCATTATAATCTCATGTGGATGTTTACAGCCCTGGCTGTGTGTAGCTAACTCTACAGTAGGAATAGCAGGTCAGTGTTTGTGTGTCGCAGTGTGGCCAATGTGTGTTGCTCTGGGGTCATGTGGAGGAGATGACGTGAGATGGTGGTTGTCTGACCTTTCCAGGACGGCTCGGAACGATTCAATACTCACCTATAACAGATTTGAAATACATACTGTAAGTCAGTGAAGTGTGCGAAGCTTGGTATATTTAACTGCAGCATGTATTCACAGAAAGGTGTCACACCATGGACAATTGGTGGAGTTAGTCAGTTAGTCAGTTTGTCACTTCTTATGGATTCGATTTTTCGGGCATAAAAACTAGTTATGTGTGTCCATACAGCTTAGTTTCCTATAATGTCCATTCTGCATGTCTGTTCTGTGTGTATGTATATACACTTGGTACGGAAGAGCACAGGGTAATAGGTGTAGGGCATATATACCTCTCCCCGTGGGTCCCTTCTCTCAGCCTCTTGCCACGCTTCCTGGAACACCTGGTCAGGCATCTCCACCCCCACCCTCTGGAACACCTCCCTCACCTCCTGTGGCCCTCGGCTCTTGAAGAAGTCTCTCTCAAACGCCCCTCTGCAGGGGTAGACGTGTACAGTGGGGAACAGGAGAGCTCTGTAACTCTCTGCAGTAGAGTCTATGGTAGTATGACATACAAAAAGCTAGAGTGTTGTATTTTCTCGTGCTTTATCGTATTATAGATACCATGACAAAAATCAGTAGAGCCAGCGGTGCAGGTATATATTTGGAAGCTGTAACTCAACTTTAGCGATGGTAGTAGAACACACAATGTGTGGGCATGTGAGACAACCAGTGTTGCATTTTCTCGTGTTTTATTGCATTCTATACGCCAGGATAAGGTGGTGCAGGTATATATGCCACAAAACAGGTCCACCTTCATCTCTTCCTCCACCCCCATCTATACCTATCCACCTTCTCATCGAGTTTTTTCCTTGACCTGAGCTTGATCGTAGCTTACCCAGTATCTCCTGCTCCATTCAATTTGTGGCTAGTGGTGCAGTTTTTTTTAACTTCATTCCCAGACATCTATTACCTGACGCCGACATGACCACCTTTTCCTTACTTCAATGGAACCATTTTGTTAATCCCTTCGCCTTGTTAACATTTGAAGTCAGCAACCAGTAGAAAATCTCGTTGCACTGAAAAAAGTGCTTCAGTGAAGTTACAGCTAGCTACGTAAGAACCTACTATTTACACGTAGTTGTAATGTAGCCTAGCTCCATGTGTTGTCAAATATATTTATCCAAGCCAGATCCTTTCCAGACGGCTACATTCAATCTATCTTGGTCACAGTATGCTTAACCCTCAGCGTGCATGCGTAGAGAGGATCACAGTAACTCTCGGTGCGCATGCACAGAGAGGGTTATACAGTACTTGGTGTATTTTCCGTTTGTCTGTCTATTTTACATCTTACTTCTCAAAGCACTATTCACGCCACAAATAACACATATTCAGCGACAGATGAAAGTGCGGGAAAACCACTTCGTTCTAGTTTGAAACACAAGCGGAGAAGCCATCATGCATATTTGCAATAGCTTGCCCTTGACTAGTTTTGCTAGTTTACGTAACCGTGGGGGTGCAAATCTTCTTGGAGGAGGAATAGTCTCGGAGTGTTTGGACTCTATGGAGTTAGGGATGGAAAAGCAAGCTTCAAATATCATTTCCTTTTTCATACAAAGCAAGAACCCATGCCATTTTTGTAGGATGCTTCATGCAACCTCACCAGGTTTGAACTAGACTTTGCATTTTCCTCACTCTGCGAAGTGTTATTCCATCTTTCTAAAATAGCCTTGAAATATTGCTGTACAGTTGCATGCTTAATATCTTAAATGCATCAAGCAAACAATTATAAGACAAATACAATGTGTTATGTGGGTACAGTGAGTTTCTTGTCCTGTCTACAACATTTCTTCATTACTCAGTCGTATCACAATGCAACTCCTTATATCCACTGTACCTTCTGGAAAAACGCATACACTTGGCCCAACCCATCAATTCGCAGTACCACGCATGCGCAGTTCGCCGAGGGTTTGCACTTTAGTGCTTTTCATTAATAAACAAACCATTGTAAGACCATTACAAAGTGTTATGTGGGTACAATGAGTTTCTTGTCCTGTCTACAACATTTCTTCATCACTCAGTGGTATCACATTGCTCTTGCAACTCCTGATATCCCCTGTACCTTCTGGAGAGACACCGTCTCACACCATTTGCCATGTCACTCAATGCCACCTTGCAACCAGGGCCATGGAACTGATATCCAAACCTTGTCAGTGTGTGTTTGGTCAAGGTATAGCCAGCCCACAGAGCCACCAGAATGTGTGGTGTAAGAAGAGTGGCAATGAATGTCAGTTGAAGTGGGTAGGTTCTAACATTAGACCATCCACCACAGGTAACGTACACACATGAGAATTCCAAACAGAATTAGGTGAAAACTGAGGGAGACATTTGCAATTGCTGATTTGCATGGCTTCACATATGAGACTAGACATACGGACATCATAAACAGAAACATTCGTACAGTATGTTCAATTACACCATCCATAGTTATATGATCCTGCAGAAAATCGATAAGCATGTAAGCCAAAATGTTTATAACGTGTACAAGTGGAAAAATCATTTCTTCAAAATGAAGGGGTGATATAGGGATGGCTTGAAGCACCAAAAAGGAAGAAACAAGGGGTCATTACACAGCAAAGATGCACCAAGCTACATGACACCATCCCTATATCTTTGTCTCATAGTAAACTTTACTTGTGAACTATATATTACACAAAGATATAGGGATGGTGTCATGTAGCTTGGTGCATCTTTGCTGTGTAATGACCCCTTGTTTCTTCCTTTTTGGTGCTTCAAGCCATCCCTATATCACCCCTTCATTTTGAAGAAATGATTTTTCCACTTGTTTCCACTATTTTTCATGCCTTCTGCATTTTCAGTCACTCTGATGTTTGTAGAGATAATGTTGAAAGCAGAAGTTAATGTACCTGAAGCAGGGTGTATGCGTAGTGTCTCCAACAACGATGCAATTAGGTTGTGGCACATATGGTGGGGTGGTTTCGTAGGCAGGCTTCAGTAATCAGACTACAATGATAGCTATAACCTGGGGGACAAACAATGAAGGCGCCTGCGTAACACGGCGCAGATTGCGAAGTTGCTCCTCGTGCAAATCAACAGCGAAAACGTAAGCTAGCCAGTTAAAAATGTGTATACTGACTTACAGAAGGCACTGGAGGATAAGAGTTCCTCTGCAGCTTAGTCTCGTAGACCTGGTTCACGCATGCGCGCGCACCGCATTGGGGAAACGCCCTCCTCGGCGCATGCGCGGCGGACGGCTCACTGATGCTGAGTTAGCAGCAAATGGCGTTGTCCAGTGACTACTGTGGAAGAGCTCAACGATCTACCGTAGTGACTTGCGGCAAGAAACAAGCGATCGCTTGATATGCGTGCACACCTCCGGCAAAATTTGGAGACGTTCTGTGAAAAAATCAACGCTTGAACTGCTTCCGGTAAGGAGCTAGCGAAGAAGATGAAGAAGAAGAAGAAGAAGAAGAAGAATATGATGATTATGATGACACGAAAATCGCGAAATCGCGTAAGTGCGAATTCTCTCCTGGGGAACTGAGGGCACGTAGGAAGTCTTGGGGCATATGTATAGCTAGGTATTGGCCTCTAGACTATTGCTAGTGATTTTGAAGCCATGGTGAGTCATTGTCGCTGAGTTTTGAGGCGTTTTGTACGTGCGACTAACGTGAAACTACCTCAGACCTGTGACGTGTGGATATAGGGTAAAAAAGGGGAGAAGAAGAGAAGAGAAATGCTAAGAGTAGTCAAATAAGCCTCCCCCAGTGACTACTGGTCCACCTATGAGTCACATGTGTTCAAGGGTATGGTTTTAAATATGTTTCTTCCCAACACTACCAGCTAGCTACTTCAGAGGAGTTGATACTAATGCCCAGTATTGTCTTGCTAGGCCACCATCCCTACATTATATATACAACTTCAACAACTGTGATCAACAATATTAATAGTTGCATTAAAATTTGTAGCAATTTCTTCCAACCTTGCGGTTTAGGTTTAGATGTAACAGAAGGTGTCGTGGTTACCAAAGCTGTATTCAGAAGTCCTCCTTCCACTGACTGTGGTGCTGTAAAAATTGTTTGTGAGAGAAAAATAATTATGAAAAAAGTATGATATGTGAAATGTTTTTATCTGTCGTAAAACTGCTGTTGTTTCTATAAATTTGCAGTTTAGATTGAGAGTTAGGGGAGGGTATCTTGAATGCAGCAGTACTGACGAATCCTCCTTCAATTGACTGGGTTGCTGTAAAATATTTTTGCGGCAGGAAAGTATATAAACTTTAATGCATTTTTAGGAGTGAAGCGAGCAGTTTATTTTGCGTGTTTTTCACGCGTATATATTATATAATAATATAGAATCACATAGACATTACGGTATGTTGTTCAATGCACCGATACATAATATGGTTAATTCTTTGTTCAGGTGACTAGGCAGGCTCGCTTTGGTGGCCAATCATATACCTTTCTACTTGTATCTGATTATAAGAAACTGGAATTCTCAGCAAAAAAATTTGAACCCTGTCTTTCTGGTTGAGAGATAGGGGGGAATGGTGCAGATGTACTGAATCCTCCTTCAATTGACTTGGATGTTGTAAAAATAGAAAATTAAACATTCCCTACAATTTTCTTTTTCAACAGTTATGTACGGTATGTTATTAACTTAATGTTGTTTATCTGGTGCAAGATAATGTGAGTTTCTAACCTTGTGGTTCAGGTTGAGAGGTAGGGGAGGGTGGTGCAGCTGTATTGTCCAATCTTCCTTCAGTGGTTGTACTCAGGAAGGATGTATGAGAAGGAGACAGCCTCAAGATGGTGGAGTTAGCCCTGGGTGTTGGAGTACCACTGAGTGAGTGAGAGGGAAAGACCAGGGACACTGACTGTGGTGATTCGATTGGTGTTTGTGGGAGGAAAGTAGGGGAAAGATCCTCATTGCACATGTCACTGTCGACACAGCATTCAATAGCTACAGTCTCTGTAGTTTTACTGCAGAAGGTTGGATTCCAGGTTGTAAACACACAGCCTAAATCTGTCCTGATGGAACCGTCATCACGCATTGATCTTCTTGTATAGCATGCACTGTGGGATGTGTCGATTGTGCAGGTCCATTCTTCCCACCGACAATCACTTAGTGGTGCTTGATCATTGCAACTGCATCTCAGTGCTGTGAAATTATTTAATGATAAAGATTTCTAACATTCGTATATACAGTGCAAAACATTCCAGTGGGTCGGTGAAAGAGCACCTACAGGTACAGCACTGGACAAATCAAAATTATTCTCGAACAACTAAGCGAGAACCCTTATTAACCCTCGGCGCGCATGCGCAGCGAGGGTTACGGTAGTCGTTCTGTCGGTCTGTCCGTCTGTCTGTCTGTCTGTCTGTCTGTTTGTCTGTCCGCGCGAGTTCTCGCACTACAGGCTACGAGGCGGCCAATGAGTGGCACCAACGGGTTGTGAACAACGTGAAGATGGATATTAACGTGGCGATTTTCCTGAAACGACAGCGTTCCAGAGATATGGCTTGAAAACAAGCGAAAAAGCCAACGTGCGATCAATCGCGCACGCGCCCTCTCCGGCAGGCTATATAGCGCGCACGCGTCATGTCAATTATTCGCCGGAGCATGCGCTACAAACATTCTGAGCAAGGTATGTTCGCAATGTAGCATAATAGTTCGGTTGGCGAGCAGTTTGTGGCTGCGGCCTTGTCTTCCCATCTATAAAACGTCTGGCGAGAGCATTGAAACACAGAAGAGCGAATAAAGCAAATATGAGAGCCTCTGAAACATTGCTCTAACCGCTAATGCAACTAGCTACCCTGTGTTACGGCGAGACTCGTGTTACTGGCTCAGCCAGTGATGCTACAACTCGCGCGTTTAGCGCCGAGGGTTTGCACTTTAGTGCTTTTCATTTAACTAAGCCATCAAAATATTTCAGTAGCAATTAATAAGCGTTCATAAAGCAAGAAAGATATTAATTTGTCACAATACGTTCACCACCATCAATTACTCCAGTACTTCTTCCGTTGACCTCCTCCAGTGAATTAAAAATTACATTCCTTGTTAGCCACATTCGTTTTTGATTGTTACTCATGAAGTCTGCAAAATGTGTGAACCGGATATATATTAGAGTACTACAGTAACTGTGAGTGCTGAGTCTAAAAAGCGAAGTAAGGTATTGTGAGTACAATGTGCAGCAGGTGTGTTTAGTTCATGGGTGGTCTGCACTTGCAGAGTGCATGAAGATATTATGATGCACAAACCCAGCAGCCAGTAAACAGCACCGCTACACCCATCAGTGCAAGAGATCAACTATGTATAAAGATTACCCGTAGCTAGACGCCTATACCCATACGAATAGTTGATAGTTATGGACTTTTTGTGAATTCTTGCTTTAGCAGTGGTGTATATACATCTCTTTTTTGGCTGTGTCCATTCCTGAGACCGACAGGCTCATCAGTAAGTAGCTACTACTATTGAGGTAGACTAGGAAAGATTGTCTGCTTATATAATGCATGAAGATGGGATCTGGCTCCCTCATGGTATCTACTGCTAGCTAGCCCGTGTCAGACTCTCCGCCAGCTACCAGCGGGAGACCACGAGTAAAGGCATACTAATATTATAGCCCAGCCGGAATCACGCATGCGCAGTTCGCTGAGAGTTTGCACTTTAATTCGTACTTCCTCCGCTGAGCTCCTCCCGTGAATTAAAATTACATTCCTTTTTAGCCAGATTCGTTTTTTATTGTAGATCAATTGAACATTTCTCTGATCCCACTTCCTCCCTCCCTTTCTTACCATTCTTTCCCTCTCCCTTCTCCCAATCTCTCCCTCTCTCTAAGGTCATCCACCCAGCTCAGGTGCCAGTGGTTCAGGAAGCCTTCTCTCCCAGTGAGGAGAGGGTGGGTGGGCCTCTGGTATCATTTCTGCCTTCAACCCACTCTGGACAGGTCAGTCTGCTACACTACATGTAGTGTCCTGAGTCACGAAGGCAGCAGAAACCAAGCCTTCATCCTGGATTACTTGCCTTGCCCAGCTAGGTATATATGCACACAAGCCAAACCCTTCGTGACAAACAGGATGGATGAGGAAGTTACACTTCCAACAAGTAACGAAATTATACTTCCTATGAGTGACTAATTGAAATTCCTTAGCGTGTGTGACACTCGTGTATGTACAGTTATACACATATTGCCCCTGGATAATAATCCACTCGGCAACCAATATATTGACCCTTATGTATTATATTATTTAACCCCTCTGTTCCACAGGGGGCATTTGTGTACGAAGGTCACATGACAGACCGCTACTACTGCAGGCCCAGAACATTGTTAGTCTCCATGGCAACGTCCTTAACCAATCTTCAAACAAGTAATTCATATCACATTTTGTGTGCAGAAAAGAGGAAGTTATGTCGGAATATTATTGTAACAGCCTGCGCATAATCACAACTTGTTATAATTATTATACTGTACAATGAGTATTACAAAAAAATTACAACTAAACAACAACACATTCTTCAACACTGTCCCATGCTCCATGTCCACTCACTACGATGATCTTGTCAGGTGATGGACTGGCTACTAAACAGTCGTACCTACCGCTAGTCATAGAGCCAATCTCCACCCACTGTCCATCCACTAGCTGGTGAATGGAGTTGACGACTGGTGACACCAATAGACCATCTCGCCTGCCACCAATGAGTACTAGCTGTCCACAGAGGGTGGCAGCTGTTGAACCTCTGACTGGTAGAACGAGAGATGTCCATGATATGAGGTGTGGTATTGACTGTGGTGGGATTGGTTTGTCACTGGATGGTAGAGCTGCAAGAGAACACGAGTAGCCATTAGCATTAATTCCTATAACTTTCAACTGATCACCACATATTGTGGCTGAAGGGAGGGTAAGAGGTCGTGGTAAGTCTGCTAGTTGGTACCATCTTCTGCTCTTCACTTGAAATAGTTCAACTGTAGCAGTCCAAGTAGAACCACCTCCCCCAATCACAATGAGGTATTCACCATCGGATGTACTAACTACAGTAGTGCAGGAACGTGCAGTGTTCATTGGAGGGTATTTCTCAACCCATTCCCTCTGTCGTAGTGTGTATAGTTTGTTAGTATGAGATCCACCCTCTCCCCCCACAGCAGTTAGTTCCCTGTCAATAACGACTAGTCCAGAGTCCTTGTATGGACATGGAGGAAGTACCTCCCATTTCTCTGTACTACATTCATATTGGTAGACTGAGCTGGATTGACGTGGGGTGAAGTATGCAAATCGACCATCAGTTGTTGCAGATCCTCTGATCATTCCACATGGTGCTGTCTTACTACGATGACACTGCACAGTGAGCTGAGGGGTGATCACATGACATGAAATGACATCATAATCATGAACGATATCCGTCACACGACTCACATAATAATTAAACATTGTGTTAAAAATCAAACTCACAAAATGGGCAACATTAATTATTAGGCATGGCTTATTTCAATCAATCACTATTCACCATATCCCAAAATTAATCTTTCACCTGTGACACATTAAAAGGCATCGCTAGCTCCTGTCATGATAGTTTTAATGTGCAAACCTTTCTGGGTTTAATATTGACTGGTGTGGAATGTGGTACAGCTGTTGGTAGAAGACTAGACTGGGTCTGTGAGGGTGGAGCAGAATTCACAGGTTGTGGATAAAGAATTAATATCTAAGATCGTTAGTCAGAAGGTAAATGATTACAGGTTGAGGTATATACAGCTGTTGCTAGAAAACCAGACTGAGTCTGAGAGGGAAGTGTGGAGTAAATTATTCACAGCTAGTAATTAAGACTGACCTTTGTCCTCAGAGTAGGCTCAGAGTCTCTCTGCTGGAGGGCCTTCTGGTCAGCCACTAGAGCCTCACTTGATCGCAGCTGTTCCTCCTGCAGTCAGGAGAACCTCTATATAGTCACAGACACATCCTGCAGTTATCACTAGTCACCTTCTGTCTCAGTTGTTGCTGAGTCTCCTTCCTTGTTAGCTCATCTCTCACTGTCTGCTTCTCTCTTAGCTCCCTGCCCTTGGCCTGCACTAACTCAGTCTCCTGCAGTCAGGAGGACCTCGTTACACTGCATTAGTTCCACAGACTAGACTAACTCTCCGTCTCAGTTCTTCATTCTGTCTCTGTGAGCTGATGAGCTGTTGCCTGACTGTCTGTTTCTCTCTCTCACTGGAATGGAGCTCTTCTTCCTGAAGTTGTACGTTCACATTAGCAGGGATGCTATATATAATAGTTTTACCTTCTGTCTCAGTCGCTGCCGAGCCTCAGCTAACTCCCTGTCCTTGGCCTATGAGAGAGAGGATTTGTGCCAGTACTTCTACCAAGGTAAACCGATATTCCATGGCAATGCCGTAATGTAATTCTTGGGGAGTATAAACTGCCACAGCAAAACTGAGTGACTGTTACTCCTTACCTCATTCCTGAAGTGTAGTTCCTGCATGCTTGACTGGAGATCTCCTAACTCCTAATAGTTCCGCAGAATTCACTATCAAAACTCTATTGTTATGGCAAGTCCCCTACCTGGTTCCTGGACTGCAGCTGTTGCTGTAGCTCATGCACACCAGACTGCAGATCTCTTTCAGAACTCTGCATAACACAAATCGAGTTGAAGTTGCAGAGACCACAGCATTAGCACACACACTCCCTCACCTGGTTCCTGGGCTGGGTCTGAGCAGCTTGCATCTCTTCCCATCCGCTGTCTGTGGCTCCAGCTCTGGCCTCCTCCAACAGACGCAGAACCTCACGAATGCTCGGACGTCCGTGAGGACCGTTGTGCAGGCATTGCTGGATCAGCCTAATGAGAGGGTGGTCCCCACAGAGCTGGCCACAGGCACGGAGTTGCTCGTTCACGTGTTGCATGTACTCGCTGCGTCGCTGTAGTTCAGTGCTAGCTACTAGAATTCCACTTTTCTCGTCAAAGTTGTTGTGCTCTAGAGGATCACAGGGGAACACCTCACCGATTGTGAAAATGGCAACTACTCCAAAAGAGAAGACATCGATACTGGCATCGTACTTTGACTTTTGTGCATTCGATTTTGCAGGAGTAGTGGCTTCTGGAGGCATGTAGACTGAGGCCCCAGGTCCCTTTGTCATGGTAGCTGCAGTTCTCAGACGAGGAACGATACGAGCCACACTCAAATCCACGATCTTGGCTACCATCCCCGAATTCAGGAGAACTTTTCTGGCCGACAAGTCGCGGTGGATGACGGGCGGCGTTCGCTCGTGGAGGTAGGCTAGACCGCACGCCACGTTGTGCAGGATCGAGCACTTTAGGCTCAGCGGGAAGAACGGCTTGGGCGTGTTGGGCGAGGGAGGGGGGTCCGTTTCTGGGTCCAGCAAGTCGTGAAGACTCGTCAGCAGTCGCTCCATGACGAGGGCTGGCAGTCGCGAGCCGGGAAAGAAGGCGACGCCCAGAAACTTGACGATATTCGGGTGGACGAAGGTGCTCATAAGCTGACATTCCCTCACGAACTGGGCAGTGGTTCTGTGGATCTCGGCCGCGGGGATCTCGGAGCGGTCCAGGAAGATGTCGTGGATTTTTTTGGCGGCGCAGATGGCTCCAGGCACGGCCACCTCCTCCACGCTGCCATAGGCTCCGGCGCCGATTCTGATGCCAGTGAGTCGGACGTTGGGGAGGACGAACGGCCGCAGCTCAGGATACTCGGCGAGAAGGCCTTCCGCGGCCATTTCTTGTGCTGTAGGTCACGACAGTCTTATCTTGCTGGTCTCTCAGTAGCCACAGTTCAAGATGAAGATGGCGGACCGCGCGGCCGCCGGAGCCCCAGCTCTACGCTGTGCGTTGTTGGTAGGCCTGCGGCGATTATGCGGGCTAGGCAAGTGTAAATGCGGGCCCGATAAAGTTATGCGGCAGTGTCACGTGCACGTGGATAGCCCCGCCCCCCTAACACGCGATATATTATTGGGCCCCAGTCGCGCGCCCCCCAACATGTAATAACGTGCGCATGCGTGCGTCTGTTAGTAATAGGGAATGCTGATACACCAATCATGATAAAGAAGATTAACCACCATTGTATGTAACTTTGTTGACAGCTCAAAAACCATATCCCCTCTGTAAAAAAACTTTTTTTTTGCATTTGAGCCTGCCGATTCACATTCACTTCCTCCATCCAATTCTTACCTTTCTTTCTCTCTCCCTTCTCCCAATCCCTCCCTCTCTAAGGTCATCCACCCAGCTCAGGAGCCAGTGGTTCAGGGAAGCCTTCTCTCCCAGTGAAGAGAGGGTGGAGTGGGCCCCACATCTCATTACTGCCTTCAACCGCCACCAACACTCGGGCATACCTACCAACCTGCAGATAAACCTTTGCTTGAGAAATGTGTCAAACTTGCTTGATTTAGAGTATTTTTGCCTGAAAATGCAGCATGTCCATTCACAATGTATGGGCATAATGCATCACAGGTTAGCACAAAAAAGAGGGATTTGGTGAATTTCTGGTGGGATAGACAGTACTTTTGCTTGATTATCAAGCAAAAAGCTGGATGGTTGGTAGGTATGCTCTGGACACGTCAGTCTGCTACACTACATGTGTTGTCCTGGGTGTCTTTGATTTGTTGCTTTTCGTTTGTTTTGCCTTTCATACCTCACTTATGATTCATCTCTACTGCTGCCTTCGTGGCCTTGCTGTACCAAGCCTTAATCCTGGATCACTTCCCTTCCCCAGCCATGTATGCACACACGCCCAACTTTCGCGACAAACAGGAGGGATGAGGAAGTTAAACTTCCCACAAGTGACGGAATTATACTTCCTATGAGTGACTAATTGAAATTCCTTAGCATGTGTGACACTCGTGTATGTACCACACATATTCCATGCTATTGGCAACCAATTTACCCTTGTGTATTTTTATTGTTTAACCCCTCTGTTTCCCAGGGGGCATTTGTGTACGAAGGTCACATGATTGACAGACCGCTATATACTACTGCAGGCCCAGAACATTGTTAGTCTCCATGGCAACGTCCTTAACCAATCTTCAAACAAGTATATAATTCATATCACATTTTGTGTGCGGAAAAGAGGAATTTATGTCAGAATATTATTATTGTAACAGCCTTCGCATAATCACAACTTGTTATAATTATATATACAGTACAATGAGTGTTACAAAAAATTTACTTGTAACTAAACAACATCAACACTGTCCCATGCTTCATGTCTACCCACTATGATGATCTTGTCGGGTGATGGACTGGCTACTAAACAGCGGCTCCTCTCACTAGTCATAGAGCCAATCTCCACCCACTGTCCATCCACTAGCTGGTGAATGGAATTGACTTGTGACCCAAATACATGTCTCTTGCCACCAATGAGTACTAGCTGTCCACAGAGAGTGGCAACTGTTGAGTATGTCACTGGTAGAGAAGGGAGAGATGTCCATGATTATGAGGTGTGGTATTGACTGTGGTGAGATTGGTTTGTCACTGGATGGTAGCGCTGCAAGAGAACACGAGTAGCCGCCACCATCACCTCCTATTACATTCAACTGATCACCACATATTGTAGCTGAAGGGGAGAAGAGATGTTGTGGTAAGTCTGTTAGTTGGTGCCATCTTCTGCTCTTCACTTGAAATAGTTCAACTGTAGCAGTCCAACCATCACCAACAGTCCCCCCAATCACAATGAGGTATTCACCGTCAGCTGTACTAACTACAGCAGGCCTGGAACGTTCAGTGTTCATTGGAGGGTATTTCTCAATCCATTTCCTCTGCCGTAGTGTGTATAGTTTGTTAGTATAACGATAATATTCTCCAACCGCAGCAGTTAGTTCCCTGTCAATAACGACTAGTCCAGAGTCATTGTATGGACATGAAGGAAGTTCCTCCCATTTCTCTGTACTACATTCATATTGGTAGACTGAGGTGCAGTCATATGAGGTGAAGTATGCTAATAGACCATCAGTTGTTGCAGATCCTCTGAACATTTCTATCTTCTTACGATGACACTGCACAGTGAGCTGAGGGGAGATAACATGACATGTAATGACATCATAATCATGAATGATACTGTAAACCCAGAAATTTTAGCGCACCATAAAATTTAGCAAAATTAGCATTTCCCATCCTAAACGCTAAAATAGTAGGATGCCATTTTTTTGGTAAATGCTCATGTGTTGTAATAACTGGCAATCAAAAATTCGCTAAATTTATAAGCCGCTAATAATTATATCAAAAACGCTAATTATTTTGGGTGCCAATATTACTGGGTTTACAGTATATATCCATCACACGACTCACACAATAATTAAACATTGTTTTTAAAAAATCAAAATCACAGAACAGGCATTAATTAATACGCATGGCTTCAATTTCGATTGATCACCATTCACCATACCCCAAAAAATTTTTTCAAGGCAGGTAAGTGTATCTTGTCTAATCTTGTTACAAGGCGGTATATAAAGATGTAGGCAAACTTCCTGTGCATGCAAACTACCCCTCATGACGTTTTCTTATCTGTTAGTGTACCACAGACAAACTAAACCCCTCAACTGGCAGTTTGTACTAATGAACTGTGTGGGATCCAGTGGTGCTGGAGTAGGTAGCTATAGCTACATACATTTCTGATGTATGAGAGATTGCAGACCACTCAACATATTTCTCCTTATATTTTTTGTTTTTTGTCTTTTCTTTTTATTGTTTTGTTTTGTTTTGTTCTTCATCTCTATACCTGTCGTATATTGTAACGCCGCATAACCGATTGTCTAACCACAAAAAATAAGAAGTTCGGGAGGACGTCGACGTCTGCAGTTCAAGGCTTAGTTTTGTGGCGCTGGGTCACTTCAAATCTCGCAGAGAATCGTGAAAAAGAGGCATAATAATGCATCGCCAGCTGAGTTACGGCACTTACGTTGTGAGTGCCGGAAAAGTGGGAGGGTGGGGCTGAACGTAGCGAGGATAGCTAGCTCTGTCCGGTCCGAGAGAAATGGCTGGGTCCGGGTGATGGTGTCCGACAATTGATGAGCTACTCTACTATTCAACCCCAAATCTTGGCTTGGTTTTGATTCATCAAAACTTCGGTGTGCCATACATACTCTACGGAGGGAAACATTGCTGGCGCAGCACGCGTGTCCAACCTAAATTTGAGCGAGCTAACCTGGTGGTGCGAACGGCGCGATTTTTTCTACGACCCTGGACCGTACGTCGTCCAACTGTGCGTGAGTCCTGATTACGCGCTTCGATATCGCTGCCCTCTTTGCGCAATCTAGCCAGCGAGAGAAATCTCCTCCATTCGACGGCATTCGCTGTGCTTCTGACCGAGGCTGTACCTCTTTCCAATCTTCGTGGTTCCAAGGTTCAAGTTGCAATTGTAGGCTAAGATAGCTCGTGCAGACGCAGTTATTGTGTGCTCGCTCCCGATCGCCAGAAATGAACTCAAGTGCTGTTAACCATTTCCATTCTCCGCGAACGGTTGCGCAAACGCGTGTGCATCAGCAGCGCGAAAAGGACGCGCAAACGAATGCGCAACTGGGATTTTATGCGCATGCGCAGCACCGGAACAGTCTGGAGCCACATTTTCAGCCCTACAGATATGAAACATCGACACCCATGGCTCTGGAGCACTACTTGACTCCGATGCACATCTTCACAATAAGTCCAGAGCGACTTCTGAAAATTTGTGAACCCGTTCACAATTGCGTTCACGAGAATCTGTCTGCGCTGTGAAATCAAACCCGTGCGAGCGTGCGCGATCGGTCAGTTGTGAGATTTCTCGACAGTGCCACAGAGCTAGGTTGTGCTGTAGAGCTCCCAGGTAAACAGAACATGTATATTCAGAGACGTGGGCTTGGCAGTTGCCAGATACACGCGGTTTTGGTGTGGTGGACATCTTGAGGCTTGCCCCAAAGAGAGGGACATTAGTGGAATATCATTTTGTCCGAAATCTGAAATAAAGGGGATATAGGGATATCGTCATGAAAATGGATAGAAGCCTAGAAAGTGATTCTTTAACCCATCCCTACATCTTTGTTTGCTTCAACATTCAAACTTTTGAGCTAGCTCTGGAATCAGGTGCATCATAAATCGATGAACGTATTCAAAGATGTAAGGATGGGGTTATGAATGAATTTCTGTTTTTAGCATCTTCTTGCATTGTTCTCTTAGTATCTAAGTAAAATTGATAATTGTAGACTAGTTTTTGAGCTATTATGAAGCAAGAAAACTTCCATGTAGCAGTAGAATGCAACGAAAACTTCACTGTGGATAATAAGGTGCCCTAGTTTTTGTACTTTTTTCAAGCATATTAAAGGAAGCACAGCTGAATCGACCATCTATTACACATTGATTATAGCAATAGATTGCAGTGAAATTTGTTGTATCTAAGTAATGTTGATAGTTTTTGAACTATTATGAAGCAAGAAAACTTCCATGTAGCAGTAGAATGCCGAAAATTCACTGTGGATAATAAGGTGCCCTAGCTTTTGTACTTTTTTCAAGCATATTAAAGGAAGCACAGCTGAATCGACCATCTGTTAAACATTGATTATAGCAAATGTTTGCAGTGAAATTTGTTGTATCTAAGTAATGTTGATAGTTTTTGAACTATTATGAAGCAAGAAAACTTCCATGTAGCAGTAGAATGCAACGAAAACTTCACTGTGGATAATAAGGTGCCCTAGTTTTTGTACTTTTTTCAAGCATATTAAAGGAAGCACAGCTGAATCGACCATCTATTACACATTGATTATAGCAATAGATTGCAGTGAAATTTGTGGTATCTAAGTAAAATTGATAATTGTAGACTAGTTTTTGAACTATTATGAAGCAAGAAAACTTCCATGTAGCAGTAGAATGCAACGAAAACTTCACTGTG